TTCTGTCTCTTCTGAAGCCATTTTAGACACATTTATGTGATCATGTGCTTGAAGAGAGGACTGAAGATGTAGCAGCCTTCTGTACAATTTTTATTCTTGACTACTTGATCTGCCATTTTTGTGAACTGGCTGGGTATGAATTCTGAAAAATCACCGGCACTGTTTTTGTGTCAGCACTATGCATACTTAATTACTAGATGTGATAGAGTGCTAGAGCTTAATTGCTAGAATGTGAAGAGCTGTCCCAGAAGAATGATCATGAGTGAGTCAGAAGCCTGTGGGTGAGAGTAAGAGACTGGGGCAACAAAGGAAGCCTTGTGGTTGCGGTCTCCTACAGGTGTCCTGATCAAGCAGAGCCTGTTGATGAAGCCTTCTTCCTTCAGCTACAAAAGGCATCATGATTGCAACTCTTGTCCTGTAAAGAGACTTCAACAACCCTGATGTCTGCTGGAAAAGTAGCACAGCAAGGTGTAGGTGATCCAAGAGGTTCCTAGAATGTAGAATGGATAATTTTCTCAACCAGGTAATAGACAGCCCCACCAGGGCTGGACCTGTTGATCACCACTGATTAGTGACATCAGGATTTTAGGCTGCATGAGCTGTAGTTAGCAGGCAGTGGTGGAGTTCTAACTCTTGAGGGATATCAGACAGGCAGAGTAAACTCAGGAAAGCCAAATTTCAGTTCTTCAGGGAGCTAGTCAACGAATCCCCCTGGGAATCTGTCTTCAAGGACAAGGGAGCGTAGCTGAGCTGGCAGATGATTAAGGAAACTTTCCTTAGGGCACGAGAGTTCTCCGTTCCCACAAATACATTTTCCCCCCTTTAGTCCTCTGCATAAATAAGAATACATTCCTGGCATCCTGCAGTGGAACATGTGGCTCTTCTGCTACATAACTAGAACAACCCAGCTACTCAGACTTAGTGTGAAGTCTGATAGTACTGGCACCAGCTGGAACAATCTGACTAGTTCAGAGAAGGATATAAGAGAAGTGTGTTTCTTGACGCTGGAAGACAACTGAAAATGTAGAGATCTTAGGAAGAATCACAGAATCACCAAGGTTGGAAAAGGCCTCCAGCAACATCCACCTACCACCACTATTTTCCCACGAAAGCATGTCTTTTTGTACAACATCTAAATGATTCTTGAACACCTCCAGAGATGGTGACACCACCACCATCCTGGGCAGCCCATTCAAGCACATGACAACTCTTTTGGAGAATAAATTCTTCTTAATATCCAACTTGAACCTCCTCTAGTGCAACTTGAGGCCATTCCCTCTAGTCTTGTTGCTAGTTATGTAGGAGAAAAAAAATATTAAATGCTTATCTAGAAAGTTTATATAAAGCTACAAGTGCAAATATTGATAAGTCCAAAGTTTGAACTTCATGCATCTAGCCCTGACAGTTCCCCATTTTTGCTTCCTCTTTCTTGTTGAATTTGGCTCCTTGTTTTACTATCCATCACATACTTTAACTAACTGATTCTTCTGTTAATTTCCTGAATGACATTATTATATATGCCATTCAAAAAGTCTTAGCACCGTGGAAAAAACGCAGTGCAAAATAGTATTTGGAGACCATTGATTATTAAGATAATCTTCTGTACATTAAAAGATCCATGCAAGCAGCTTCTAGCCTTCCCCTGTCCTGGACAGGGGATAGCTGGAGGTGCCATCAATACTAGCCATCATTTTGAAGGCTTACCCTCATTTATAGAAAGGAGAGGCAAAAATCAAGAGGACCTAAGCTGTTCTAGGACAAGTGACTGTGGAATTTGTTAGGCATTGTACTATATCATGCACTACTCAGACTCTGCACTTCCCCCAGACACACTTAGAATGTAACAGCTCTGGCAGCTGTTTGCACAGGGTCTGCAAGAAGGTCTGAGGAATATTGTCAGAGAAGCTGAATTCCAAAAGAGAGGTTGGGGTGGGAGAAAGGAATTTTTCAGATCTCTGATTCTTCTCCGTTACCTTCAAAAAGAAAGGAAATTTCAACTGGCATATGGGTGAATGCATTGCATTAATAGTAGTAAGGCATTCCTAAATGTCATCTGTCTACAACAGAATATCAAAGTTATTGATGACAGTGGATACACCTTCTTCAGCTAGCAGTGTGTTGCACTTTTCTCACTCAGGCAGATTATGACAACTGCTCCTCTGATATGGCCCACGAGTGAATGAACACCATTTTAATGGACTACTTGCAGTGGGCAACCAGCACAGATTTGCACTTCCAAGCCCAGCAGGTAGTGAACTCTGAAAAAACGTTTCATACTGGCCATGAAGCATCCAACACAACTGCAAAACTGAGGTGATGCAAGGAGAGAAAAATTCTCTGTAAATACAGATCATGTTATGCAGCCAGCTGCTGATAAAATAACGGGTTTCTTCTGTAACCTGCTATTATCTGTGGGGTGCTAAAAAATCCTCCCCTCAGGATTTTAAGTTTCTCTCTGCATGACTGTAGTTAATGACTGGACTCTATGGGTGTTCCATGCTTAGTGATTGAATATCCCCGCTGATAACATGTTGGTCTTTTAATAAATAAATAAATAAAGGCATAGAATTATAGAACTCTATGGGGGAAAAAAAAAAAAAAAAAAAGATGTTTTTTTATTGAACTTACTTCCAGGCAGCTTTCTGAAGTTAATTGTTGTAATCCTATGACTATACAGCAGGTATTATCCATAATCCAGTAGTCAGAAAAGAACAAAATCAATTATTCAATATCATCCTTAAAGCAGTGTTTTCCCCTTGGGAAACATATGCAAACATTTCTGCTGACTTTTGTCCGATTAAACAGGGAGATGTATACATCCTAAAAATTCAGTCAACGTGAAGTTTTATTTAATGTTCTTTTGTGGCCTTAGTTCTAAGAGTCAGCTAGACATAAATGCTGAAAATATCTGGTAAAATCTGTCTGAATCCTTAAAATGAAAAGTAGCATACAATTCAAATAACTGGTGATGAATCTTCATATTAAAGAGCTATCAGCCATAAAATAGAGTGCATAATGGAAAACGTCACATTCCGTTCTCTTGTGTGATAGAGCAGCTCTTGCCTTGAGAATTATCTTCACATGAATTTCAAGTCAAACTTCAGCTCTTGGATTGCAAAAGAGAAAGTCTCAACTAAGCAGATTTGAACATCTTATCTCAAAACTTTTTTGATGGTGCTATTAAATGTTTTCTTTGTCAACGACACATCTATGTTTCCAATCATAAATACATTCTGACTTCATTTATTTCTCCAGAAGATCTGTTGGTAGAATAACTGGTTGCTTTAAATTCTCTCCACACTTACAGTTGTGGAGTGTTCTGGTGATTGCTGAGAGGAGTGATGCATGATTCTGAAGTGCTGAATTATTTCAAAAACATACTTGCCAACTCCTTCTATCACTTGCTTAGAAAAAAAAAAAAAATAATCATCATCAGTAGAGAGCTGGGAAAACTAAAGAATATTAAAAAAAATAATAATCAAACACACACACAGAAAAAAAACAAAACAAAACAAAACAAAAAAAAACAGATTGTGTTATTCTGGGGGCATGATTTTTTCCAAAAAATGAAGACTTAGCTTTGGCTTGTATTTTACACATAGATATTTCCTAAATCAGCTTTTACAAGAATATATCTGCAAACATAGCTCTTGGTCCCATTAGTGCTTAAGTCTTTTTTGATGTTTGGTGTTTTATTTTGTTATGTCATTCTGAAGGAGGGTTGCAACAAGTAAGAAATGCAGTTGAAGGGGGGGATGCAGAGAGGCTAGGGCTGCCACTCAGCTAGGCTGACCCTGGCCTGAGCTGACACCCAACTGAGCTGGCTGCTCAGCATTATATCCTGCTCAGGCAGTTTTAAGAAAATAGTCTTGCAGCCAAGTTGATGCAGCATGACTGAAGTGCATTAAGTTAAGTTTTCAGCTAAGCTTTTCCTCTCCTAGACTCAAGAGGAGAGGAGATTAAAATCAACAGGAGCATTTTCACAGATTTTAGAGGGTCCTTCTGTCTCTAAACCTCATTTCTCTGTCCCCTCTGGATGAGTTTTCTTTTTTTTTGTTTACCTTATACATATAGTTCTGGAGAAGAGGCTACTAATGAGGTGCTCATACAGTGATTAGCACAATAAGGAGTTATGTAGGACTTTTATATATGTGCCTGTATATACATAAGTAAAGGCAGTTGCCTTCCATGTGACCAAAGAATCCTAATGTGCTGTGAATTTGCCTACATTGTTTCTTTAAGAAGTCATTTTAAATCAATAAAAATGGTCTTCTCCCTGAACTTGATTTTAGATTTCTGGGGTAGCTTAAAAGTGTGACTTCTGGAAGCTGTCGGAAATCTTAACAAAAATAGCAAGATACAAGACTTAGACTAAAATGTCATTATTTTAAAATCATTATGACCATAAAAGGAGCTAAAAACTTCTGAAGAGCAGACATCTTCACATTATTTCTAACAGAAATCTTGAGATAAATTGGGAGGATTCCAAAAAGACTCCCTGCCCCTGACGTTCATCCAGAGAAGATACTGCTGCTTTTCCACATCCAGCTGCCACCTGCTTATTCTCAACTGGTTTTTATTGTTGCCTTACATTCCTGCTTGTCCTTTGGTTTGTAAAAGTTGAGAAGAAGTTCAAAGGAAGTAGAATCAGAATTATGAAATATATGCTGAGATTGCCATAAAACTATGAAGCTACATTACCCTGCAGCAGAGCTGTGAATTAGCATGCATGCTGACAGGAGCATGCGTGTCTGGTCAGCCAGATGTTTCCTTGTCTGGTCAGGCACTGTGCTATGTGGATCTCAAAGACAACAGAGCACAGAGCCTTCTGGAAGCCAAGTATTTTTTGTCTACTTCTGGTAGAAGAAGAATGCATAAAACATAAACCTGTGCACGCACTTACTTTTATTATTTTTTTTTAAATAATTTTTCCATACTTATCTTTCAGTTGACGTATTTTCATTTCCATTTGTTCATTTCTGGCACTGTTGTGTTTTCAGTTGATTTTATAGGCGGACTTGACACATACTCCTACCGACAGCCCCCCCAGGAACATGTTGAGTTAAAGCCTGTAAAGCCTGTAGGTAAGGTTCTGGTCCTGTGGACCACATTAATCCTTCTAACTGGACTGAAAGCTAACCTTCTCCTGACGTAATTTTGGCATGAGGTTACTAATAATTTAATTATACTTCAATTAGAACTTAATCAAAAATTAATCCACATAAAACATGCTAGTGAGGTCACTATGTCACTGATGACATATCCACTAAGGTGAGGATTAAGAGAGAGCACAATGTCTGCCGTGTTGTGCCTTGGCTTAACACAAGGAGAGGCTCACAGTGAAGGATGGCATTGCTTCCCTGCTGACTTTTTATCAAGAGGAGAGCTGATTTATGGCTGATGTTTCATAAATCTTAATGAGATTAACCCACTTATGGAAAAACAGAAGCTTTTACATTTGGCCTGCGACTGAAAGAAAAATGTTTGCAGAAAAACTACGTGAGCTTAAAATCTATAGTTTCACAGTGAAATACTTCATTATCTCTTTCTTGTCAGTTATTTGCTCCCACCATGGCAATCACAGTTTTCATAGGCATGTCCTACAAAATACTTTTTGTTATCTGATGATAATTTTGGATACACTTATTTGCATTTTAGTTGGAGTAATTTAAAGGACAGAGAGGTGTTATCAGTATTTGGGAGAAGATCTGATTGCCTCAAGTAGATGATACTGCATTGTATTATTAAAATAGAAGATATTCATTTGGAAATTCTTTTATGTAAATAAGTAGTTACATTGATGACTTCTATCTTTCCATTTACCTTTGGTCCTTTCAAGCTTCTTAAACGTAATACCAAATGATTATTGGTATTTTGTTTTCCAATCAAGATAATTAGAAAGAGACTGAAGGTTTTTCCCAGTGTATGCATATGTGCATGTTCTGGGAGTCAATCTAAAGAGGCCAATTTCTAACAAAGTGTTTTGAGTGGCCACTTGAACTCTGCTCGAGACTTTACTAATATTTGCATGCTTTTAAAATACACTTCACTCATGCTGTAGCTTTCAGTTTATAGAAATAAACATGGACAAAATTTCTTAAAATTGAGTGGATGAATATTGTAGGATTATGAATGCCCCAAACTGAGAAAAGCCTTATCTCAGTGTAACAGTGCATGTTACAACAGTAAGAAATATCACATTAAGACATTAAGACAAAATAAAATAACAAGCTGTTTGATGTGGCATTAAGTATATGACTATGTTGGAATCTGCATTTACATATTTCATTTGATGCTGATTTTAATGCATTTTCTTTGGGAAAAGTGACAACAAAAAGAAGTTTTGACCATTCTTAAGAAGATGTTTGAGGCTGAAAAGAGTAATTGTTATCTATGAAGAAGAAAGCCACAGATGATACAGTATTTACACCTCTTCATCAAAAATTTTAGTCTCTTTAATTTTAAAGCTGATGTGAGGTTAGATATAAAACAGTATGTGAGCAAAATTACTGTAATTAATGGAGATAAAAAATATTTTGAGGAAAGATTTATGTACACATTTCTTCAAAAGCTGTTAGTTTTTGTACAGAAGTCACAGAATATGATAGCAGATTTAGGTTAAATAGCTCAAAGGATCTAGGAGATGTTGATGAGCCTACAATACTGGAAAATAAATAGCATCTTCCCATTTCCCACATATGGGACAAACAGAAGCAGAATCTTTTCCCTAAACCATGCAGTTTCAATTAAAATGTGTGGAAGGCAGAAGGGACAACAAAGGGAGTGGGAAAAATTGTTGTGTTCTTTTTGAGACACATGACACATCGGCTGTGAAGAAGATTGTTGTGTCTTCAGTTTTGTTTGCTTCAAATACAATGTCAACAACTAGGTCGCTTGATACTAATTAAAGTTTTTTCTATGTACTGCTAGGTGGAAAATAGAGAAGCATGTGAACAAGAAAAAAAAAAAAAAAAAAAAAAAAAAAAGAACATTGCATTTTAATTTCATTTGAGTTTCTTCATTATTACCATAATGTTTTGAAGAAGTTAAAAGTGTTGCATTTTGGCTTTCACTTTTTTTTCCTTCTTTTTTTTTAATCATTATTAGTGAGTTTCCAAAGTTATACTTTGCATGAGCATCATTTCTGGTAGAGTGAGTAGGTCTGATCTAGTGCTGTTCTAGTTGTAGGCAACCCTGTCTGGACATACACTGAGTAACTAATTCCAAAGGAGAGATTGCATTACCAGAACTGTTGCTAGCTTGTGAGATTCACAAAGTGTCTGAAAAACTGTCAGTTGAAGAGTTACCACTCTGTTGGTTCTGTGTCCTGCCCAGTTCATATCTTCTTTTGAAAGTAAGTCCACCAAGGCCATCACAGAATTTCCAAGCTTGCACAAGTGAACATGGCTTACAGGCAGATGTGAGAATACATAGATTCAGCAGACACATGAATGTGTGAGTCCAGCTCAAAAGTATGCTTGTCATCAGATGAAAACCTATAACCTAGTGAGCACATGTGTTACGCTTCTAAAATATATTATACAGAAAAGAGTCTATCATTATGTGCACTTCCAGCATTTTTCATCAGCAGCAATATTGTTCCCCACGTTTTTCGCTCTTCTGGTATGCATAATGCAAAGCTACCACTTTGTATCCAGCTACTCATTCTTGACCTTATATGTGAGTCGTACAGCTGAGGAAGCTAGCGACTGGACTTTTTGTTTCATTAGTTACTAACCTGTCAGCTGTTGTGAATTTACATCTAAAAAATTAGAAGAGACATAGAACGGATTTTCATTTGTAAATAATTCATATGTTCTGTTTTTTTAGGTCGAACTAAATAATGAACTCAAGACTTCTGCTGTTGTAGCTGAAGAAACAGATGTTAGAAGAAAAGACCAACCTTGTGACTCATTGTTCTGGAAGAAACGCATCGTCCGTTTCTCACAGCGTGTGGATTGTTCTTCCCACAGGCTCAGTGTCATTATCAGCGTTGTTATTTGGTAGATCCTTGTAGATGATCTTGAATTTTTGAATGATTTACTTATATGGACACTTGTAAATTGTAAATTTTTTCTTTTTTAATTTTAATATTTTTACAACATTTAATGTTAAGGCATGAAAACAAAACCTGTGAAAACTATGAGAAGGATGCATCTTTCTCAAGGAAGTCAGTATTTTTTAACTGATAGAATCATACTGTGCCTGGTAAAAATCGTGTCAGTGATTTGGACTCCAAAAAATACAGCGGGAGTTAAATCCTAATGGTGCAGAGGAGCTCATTTCAGTGCTGTATTTTGAAATTCACAGTATTCATTGCTTGTTTTTTTTTTTTTTTTTTTTTTTGAACTGCAGTATGCAGTAGGAATAGATCTATGACTCTGATTGACCAGATGTTCCAGTACAAACGTACTCATCTAATTATTGCAATTCATATATGGCTCCTTCTCCTTCTCTAATCTCTTACTCTGAGCCCATCAACAATAGCTGTCTCTGATTCAAAGAGAAATAGAATGACCATACAATCTGTGGATGTCAGTCATAGAAACCCTTAATTCCAGGGTTCTTTAGGTGTCTGTGATTTGCACACTTTTAAACTCTTTTCCTCCCTTCTCCCAGGAAGAAGCCAAGCATGAATGTACAGTATAAGGCACCACCTTCAGCCTTAGAAGCCTCTGGGAAAAAATTTTGTTCCTTATTTAAAAGTAAACAAGCAAATCTGAATATGTGTACAAAAATTTGTAAAGTTATTTGTAAATACTTCTAGACAAAGAACATGTATGTAACTGTCGTATTTTGTTTTCTATTCTGTCACCACTAGCATAAAGTGATACACAAAAGCTACTTTCTTTGGGAAGCTGGCAATCTTTTTATCAGAACTCTGTGTTTCTTTCTTCTTGATTATTGTTAAAAATATTGTGCACAGTTTTATACACCAGAGTTATATCTCTCCACATAATGTGCCTGAGCATCAGTATAAATTTCATCAGGGCTTGGGGGCCATTTCCCTTTTTGTGGTTTCTCATTTTGTGTTTTCTTTGATTGTCATGAAAAGCATTCTTTCTGATATGCGTGTCTCTATCTCTCCACTGGAAGCTGAACTAAGGTCCACTAAGTTCCTTCATAAATTTCTCTAATAGTCTTCAGCTAGTAAATTGTGTTCCAACAGCTTTCAGATTCTCATTTTGCAGTCTTCGCTTGAAGTTTGTCTAACATACCTTTTCCAGTCTGAGCAGATGTGAAACAGATGAAGACTTGCTTTGATTCTTTCCCTTAGATAGTCTATTGGAGTTTAATAATTAGTGATACGAACCTAATGAGACTATTAATACAGTCTATCATTTTTAGGTAGAAAGGCTTCTGTGGTTCATCCACCTGTTTTCCAGTTAGTTAGATGGCCTCACCATCTTTGGAGAAAACATCAACTGAACGTGGATTAACCTTCCCTTCCAGTATGAAGTGTTAAGACAAAATCAACAGAAACAACTGAATAGGACTCTTTCTTAGTATTCTTAGGGCTCAATATACCTCAAACAGTAAGTGTTTTTGTGTAAGGTCAGACTGTGCCAAAACCAGGAATGCTGTACATGAAAATAATGCCGTCTATGATCATGTATTTCAATGTTTCTCATATGCTACTTTCTCGTATTTTCTAGACTATTGCAAATTTCCAGGTTTGTCCTATCTTGAAGACTTCATCTATGTGAAAAAATAAGTATTTGTCACAAAGCTAATATAAATACTATCAGTTTAGAGGCTTCATGAAGAAGATACAATGTGAATTTCTTTGTAGTTGCCGTATTCTAATAAGGCAAAAAACATTTTTATCTACTTGTGTAAAATTTTACTTTTGCTTAGATTATTTCATTTATTTGTACAATACCTTGAACAATGACAATGTCTATTCAGTCAGTGCCTGCAGCCTTCTGAGTTTGAGATGGCTTGAGAATTTAGGAGACTGGCAAATCTGAGCACTGTTCAGAGCCAAATAGCTTTCAGGAGCTGCCTTGTTTCACCTTTTTCCATTTCAGAGAGTTCACAGTGTGGGCATCTAGTACTGATTCCAATGATCAATGCAGTTCACATATGGGCTTTGCATTTTAGCATTAACTTAATGGCATTAATTGTTATGGGTTGGTAGATAAGAGGCTTCCAACTGAATCTATGAGGACCAGAGAGGAGAAAAGGGAAGGAGCACTACATCCTCATCATTTGCACACATTCTCCTTCAGAGCAGAATGCACCCTATTCTGGCAGGGCTTTGGAAGCATCTATTTAATTTTCTACCAAGACAGACATATCTGCTGGATCATGTTTTACAAATTTGTCTGGATATACCTCTTTCTTGCTTTTCTATTGAACCTTCAGATTTTCAGCTTATTGATGAAGAACCATGGGCACATCACAAAAATTCTGCAAAGACAGAACCTGACTACTCTTCTATCTGATATATTGATCACTTTTTAGCTGGAGAACACTAACTAGCATATTACAAGTAAGCTTAAAATCTTGGAACCCTTACCAGTACAGCAAGTTTCCCATCTGTCTCACTTAACGAACAGAACAACCCTAATTGAGTGGAATTTGTCTTCATTAGAACAAGCAAAAATGGACACTGCAATGCCGAGGAAAACTGTCTTTCTTTCTAAATTGAGACACACAAAAAATAGTACCTAGAAATCTGTAAGTGCTGGGAAAAAAAATCTTGAGAATAATAAATGGATTTGAGTGTTAATTGCTGTGTCATCCAATGCAATATACATACTAGCTAATGTTTGGAAGTCTTGAGAAATAATGCTTTTCTAATACGTATGCTTTCGATAAGGTGATAGGTGACTCCCAGATCAACCAGCAACGTAAGAAATATGTGCTGACTTTCTAAATAAGCTTGGATAGTTTTGCTAAATTTAACTGCAATTTGCAATTCAGGAAATGGCTGCATTTTTACTGCAAAAAAAGAGCTCCTAAAATTTTGGAGCAGATCATCAGTTGGTATAAGCAGTCCCTTGGTGGAATTTGTGTACCATACTATAGCAGTTTATAACAGCTGGAAGATTTGTCCTTCAGCCTTTTAGATCTTTTTCCCTCCTGCAAGTCTCTGGCTAATTCAAGTTTACAGATAATTAGATTTGCAATGGTACTTTTTCTGATAACGAAACTGGACACATGACTGCAAAAAGATGGTGCTACATATTCAGTAAGGATTGAGCCAGGTACCAACAGACTTTTAAAAAAGCAGCTGATGTTTTTAGCACCTGAGAACGGGAAATGTATGAAGAAATAATTATGAGCAGATTTTTTTGTGACTGATAAGCCAAGAAGAAGAAGCCAACTATATCCTAGGCTGCATCTGGATGGCCAGAAAGGTGAGGTATGTGATTGATCCCCTCAACTCTGTCCTTGTGATGCCCCATCGGGAGTACTGTGTCCAGGCCTGGGACTGCTGCAACACCATAAATATACAGAGCTGTTGGAGTGGGTCCAGAGGAGGGCCACAAAGATTATCAGAGGGCTGGAGCACTTTGAAGAAAGGCAGAGGGAGCTGGGCTTGTTCAACTTGGAGAAGAGAAGATTGCAGGGAGACCTCATTGTGGCCTTCCATTATGTGAAAAGAGCTTATAAACAGGAGGGAGACTGACTTTTTACATGACGTGATAGTGATAGGACAAGGGGCTTTAATCTAAAAGAGGGGAAAATTAATGTAGAAGTTAGGCTGAAATTCTTTATTTGGAGGAAGGTAAAGTTCTGAAGGAGGTTGCCCAGAGTGATTGTGGATGCCCCATCCCCTAAGGTGCTCAAGGTCGGGTTGGATGGACCCTGGGCAGTCTGACCCAGTGTCTGTCAACCTTGACCATTGCAGGGAGATGAAACTGGTTGATTTTTTATATCCCCTCCAACACAAGTCATTCTGTGATTATATGATAGAGTGATGATATATTAAAATTGCTGGTGTTGCAGGAGGCAACATGGTTGGGCTGTTGTCCACAGCTTTTTCCTATCCATAGAGATTTTTTACTAAAAAAAAACCCTGAATTTATTACATCTTTTGAAGATCAATTGTGATCTTAAGTTGCTCTCTAAAATACAATAGTTTATTGCCTATATTTGATAAAGGGTCCTTTAGTGATAAAATATGATATTAACTACTATAGATGATTTCCAGTAGAGCTGTATCAGTTAAAATCACAGGAATTTTACCTGGTTTTATTTAACATCTGCTTTCCTTCAGTAGTGAGCAAATTTTATTAAGAAGATGGTATTTACTATATATTGTTAAAAGAGTTTGAACCTAGAGGTATGGGACTTTGTTAGCATGTCACAAAAATAACTTTTCATTACTAAAACCCTGCATATGGGCCACACAAAAGTCCTTCCCCAAGAATGGCAGATTTTCCCAAAGCTATTAGGGGCATCTTTTTCTTTTAAACAGCTTTTACTGCAAGCTTTCTTTGTTCTTTGCAGCTGCCTGTGTATGAGTCTTCGGTTTCCTCTCTCCATCCAGTTGTCAACTCAAGTATAGCAAAACTTCCATCACCTCCATGCCCCACATGGCTGGTGTGGCCTTTTTCATACTGGCAACTGCTCTGTGTACCCAGCTGTCAGCCTGCCTTTCGTGTAGGGATTATCTGATTTTAAAAAAGCCAGCCCAGCAATCTATCAAGTTCCTTTAACAGCCTTTGACAGCGGCAAACAAAAATTGACATCCCAAACTAATTGGCCTGCCTCCTTGTAGAATCAGTCTCATCTAGTTTAATTATAACAAATTACAACTTAGGAGCTCTTTTGTACACTGAAGAGGTTTCTTTTCAAATTGGTAAAATGTTCCTTCCATCCAAAACTTCCACATCTGCAAGCTGTTTTTTTTGTTTTGGTTTGTGGTGGGTTTTTTTCTCAAATAAATTCAGCTCTTACCCACTGTGCTAAACGTCTTGTTAGAATCTGGTTCTTTAGTGCCTGAAATGGTGATGATGCCATGTCATTTCTGGCCAAAACTGTTTTTTACATCAGAGTGGCAGCACTGTATCCTGAGGTACTGTTTGAGAAATAATGGGGTACCACTACATGGGGTGGAGGATGCCCTCATCCATACAGCTGTGAAGGAGTGCTCTTTGTCCTCTCTATTCAGGAAGCCAACTATCTCTAAAGCATAACTGGGGATAAGCCTGAAAGGTTAGTTAATTTACACCAAAAGAAGGTCACAGATTTTGTGTACAATCAAGAGATTCAGATCTTTGCTATTTCCTATCACGTTCACTGCTGCACGATTTGCCCCTTAGAATTGTGCTTGTATTATATGCTGGTGATCTGCTTGCAGTATGCCAGAGCATCCCTGATCACCT